CACTCCAGTCTGGGCGACAGAGTGAGACTCCAACTCAAAAAAAAAAAAAAAGAAAATGCAAAACCCACATGAAAACTGAGGTGGTGCCAAGGCTTCTGGTGGGAGGAGAGCAGGGAGAAAGGGGTGTTGAAGGTTACAGTCTAGGAGTGTGGCCTTAGGCTCCCTGACCCCTTTGAGGCACACTCTCATTCCCAAGGACAGTATGTTCACACAGTTCGCATACAACTAAGGGTGCTTGTCCACACCACCCCGCCTGCTAAGGCCATTCATGGACCCAGATTAGAAGCTCTGACCAGCCCAGGTCCAAGGAGAGAAAGAAGGGCCTTGCCAGAGGTCACATGGCAGCCTGCCCTTTCCAACCCACCGTTTTCTTTGCATATACCCAGACCTGCACACAGCTTCCGTTCCCTGGCAGCCCACCAGCAGGTTTACCCACCAGCTGTCAACCTAGCAACCAACCCAAGCCTGTTCCCAGAGCATGTTTGTCTCCTGCTTGGGACCGCTGGTCTTCCCAGTCACACTGTAAGCTCCAAGTAGCAAAATCCTGTCCTTTTTGTGTCCATTGGAATCCTCAGTTTCCCAGTCATTCCTGGCATTTGCTCCCCTGTCAACCACCGTCTTTCTCTGGAGAGCTTTTTTTTTTTTTTTTTTTGAGTTGGAGTCTGTTGTCCAGACTGGAGTGCAGTGGCCGCTCCCTGCCACCGCAGCCTCGACCTGCTGGGCTCCAGTGATCCTTCCACCTCAGCCTTCCAAGTAGCTGGAACTACAGGCGTATGCTACCATGCCCGGCTGATTTTTTTGATTTATTGTAGAGATGAGATCTCGCCAAGTTGCTCAGATGGGTCTCGAACCCGCGGGCTCAGGCAATCCACTTACCTCAGCCTCCCAAAGGTGCGGGATTACAGGCTGAGCCACCGAGCCCGGCTGGAGAGCTTTTTTATAATGGACTCACCCTCAGTGATCTGTTCCAGCAGTTAAGAAAACTTGATGAGCACCTCTGCTCAGCCGTGTTGATGGAGCTGGGAACACAGCAGGAACAGCTGCTGACCTGTACTTTCAAAGCGCACAGTCGGGGAGGGAGACAATTAACAACTCAGAGAGAATGGGGCTGGGGCTGGGCAGCCCAGAGGGACCATCTGACCCAGCCTGGGTGTGGGAAGTCAGGGAGAGCTTCCTGAGGGACAGAACACACAAGCTGAGACCAGGGAAGGATGAGTGGATGTGAGGGAGTAAGGGAGACAGAAGCAGAGGCCAAGAGATGCGCTGACTGGCTTGGTCCTGGAACTGGAGTGCTGAGCCTGGCTGGATATCAGGACTGAGGGAGGGGGCCTGGTCAAGAGAGATCAGGCCACAGCCATGGGGAAACTGCCTGCGCCCACACATATGGCATCTCACAGGCCTTGATCTCTTGAGAACATGGTGGGAGGGGACAGGCAGATTTGAGCTTTCCAAAGACCTCTGGGCTGTATGGGGGACAGGAAAGGCCTAGGTAGAGACTGGGCAGAGCTGACAGGGAGGAGAGGAAAGTCGATTCTAGAGGCTTTTAGGTGATAGGGCAGGTGGGTCCCAGTGGTGGCCCAGCCCGGAGGAGTGGGTGCTTCCTCAGTTTCTGGCAGGGCTTCACCTCCTGCACTCTGTCCTCTGTCCATTCAGCCTCCTTTCTGCCTGCCTATACCTGTGACGCCTCCATCCTCTCCTGTGAGCCCACCCACCCCTGTTCCCCTTTAGCGCCTCAGGGATGGGGATGCCTCTCTTCTGGCTCAATAAAGATTTTCTGGTTGACAGACTCACATGGCAAGTGGTGTTTGGTGAAGAAGGGCTTCAAAGGCAGCTCCTAGGGGCTCCCTGTTAGCACAGGTCAGGGCAGTGCCACCCTCTCTGGGAAAAGACCCCAAGGCTTGCCTTCGTGGGCGCTCGTGCTGTGCCAGCCCTCTGGGCCTTTCTGTCAGTGGCTGTCGAGCAAGGGGGTTCATCATGTACCCCATCCTTCTCCTGCTCCCCTTCCCAGTTGCTCTCCTGACTGTGTGCCTGTGTCTCTCCCACAACCCCAGACCTGGCACCTCACCATCCCAGCACCAGTGCAAGCCCTACGTCCTGGTCTGGGGTGGGCAGCCTCTTGGGCAGCTTTCCAGTGGAGCTGGTCTGTGGAACTCCTATCTTCTGGTGGGGAGGGGAGGCTGTGGGAGTAACTGTTTTCCCTGCCACCCTTGTCATGCCCCAGCAGTTCCCCGGGGGTTGGTGACATGGCTTGCCCACCTCAGCCTTTCACAGGGTTGCCCTCAAAGGGTCCATGGTGTCCCCATACCTCCCAGCATTCCTTCCAATCTGGGGCTCCAGGAGTCAGGCATGCCTCATCCCTTGGACCAAGCCCGCAGGCCTTCCAAGGGCCGGGCCGCTTTGCGCCCTCAGAAGGGGCCTTCTGCTGGGTGGGAGAGTGGTTCTGTCTCCCTGGGAGCTTCGGGAAGTCAGGGCTAGCTTTTCCACTCACAGGCAGACAGCAGGACTGGGGCTCTCAGGGCGGTTGGGCTCCCACCTTCCAGGGGGCAGCTGGGCAAAGAGGACAGGCCCACTCTCCACCTCCCACAGCCACCAACCTGTGCTTTGCGGAGCGGAACGTGTACACATCGGAGGTGCTGGCGGTGGTGATGCAGCAGCTGATGGAGCAGAGCCCCCTGCCCATGCTGCTCATGAGGACCGTGATCCAGTCCCTGACCATGTACCCCCGCCTGGGGGGCTTCGTCATGAACATCCTGTCCCGCCTCATCATGAAGCAGGTAACCCACCCTTGACTGCCCCAGGCCCCCAGGCAATAGGCTGCAGCAGGGCAGCTGAAGTCAGCCCTGTGGCAGCCGAGCAGGCCCTGCTGAGACTTTGGCTCTGCAAAGAAGATGCAGTGCTCCAGGGTCTCTAACTGGGCCAGCTACGGGGTGCTGAGGGAGGGCAGTTGAGTGGCAGGAGCAGCGGTCAACTCGGGGTATGCCTCCGGGAGAGGATGGCTGCCCCTTGCCCTGTGGACCCAGCTGGGTTGCAACCCAGAGCTGAAAGACGGCCCCATTTTTTTAAGCACTAGAAGTCTGGGGTTTTAGAAAAACTATGATAAGCCAGGCTCGGTGGCTCAGCCTGTAATCCTGCGCCTTTGGGAGGCTGAGGTGAGTGGATTGCCCAAGCCCACGGGTTCGAAACCCGCCTGGGCAGGCGAGACCTCATCTCTACAATAAAATCAAAAAATTAGCCGGGTGTGGTAGCACACACCTGTAATTCCAGCTACTCGGAAGGCGGAGGTGGAAGGATCGCTGGACCCCAGCAGGTCGAGGCTGAGCAGCCACTGCACTCCAGTCTGGGCGACAGAGTGAGACTCCAACTCAAAAAAAAAAAAAGAAAAAGAAAGAAATACTATGATAAAACAAGAACAAACCCATCTGCAAGCCCGACTGGATTTGGCCTGCAGATTGCCACTTTATGACATCTGGCTTAGCTGTTAAATGTGGATTCAAATGCGCTCCTTTGTCTTTGTGTGATCCTGGACAAGTCCCCACACCCCTCCCCCTCTCATCCGTTTAGCAAGGCTAATGCCCTCTCAAGGCCTGGGTGAGATGAGATGGTGTCCACACAGCCTGGCCCAGTCAGGGAGGGCGGGAAAGGGCAGTGCTCAGTTTTCTTCTGCCCCTTTCCCAAGCTGCCTTCGTGTTCTAGCTGCCAAGATCAGGAAGACAGAGCCCTGAAAGGGACCTCAGGGCTGTGTGTAGCCAGAGGAATCTACTGGAGGGTGGGATTTGGGCATGGACTAGGCAAGGCATTTCTGCCAGTGTCGGGCTGGGGTGGCCGCCTGCGAGCCCTTCCTGACAACCCCTCCCTGCCCGGTCCAGGTGTGGAAGTATCCCAAAGTGTGGGAGGGCTTCATCAAATGCTGCCAGCGCACCAAGCCCCAGAGCTTCCAGGTCATCCTGCAGCTACCACCCCAGCAGCTGGGAGCCGTCTTTGACAAGTGCCCCGAGCTCCGGGAGCCCCTGCTGGCCCACGTCCGCTCCTTCACACCCCACCAGGTACCCTCCCCTGGGTGTGGGGTGGGTGGCCCCACAGGTCCAGGCCTGGGGGGCTGGATGGAGAAGGGCAGAGAAGTTCTGCACTGCCACGAAGGCCAGGGGCTCTAAAGAGTCAGGGGTCATGATCTGAGGGTCCCAAGGGGATCTCAGGGCCAGGGCTCTCTCCAGCACCCCCTTTCTACTCTTCACCCAGCAAGCACATGTCCCCAACTCCATCATGGCCATCTTGGAGGCCAGCGGCAAGCAGGAGCCAGAAGCCAAGGAAGCACCTGCGGGGCCTCTGGAAGAGGTGAGGGCCCTGCAGCCCACCCATCTGGATTCCCCCAATCCCCGTGCCTCCCACCCCAAACCAGCAAAGGCCACCCCGTCCTCCTCCCCGCCGCCAGAGACTGGGGCTACTCAAGCCACCTGTGTCTGCACGGACGCTCCTGCTGAAAGGTAGTGGGAGTGGGGGACGAGTGCCCCTTCCTCCCTGTGCCCACAGAAGAGCTGCTGTCCCTTCTCCCTCGGGCTTTCTGCCTCGGGGTGGTCTCTTCCCCACCATCCTCTAAGAGCACCCGTCTCTGAGCTGCTGTGCCCCCTCCCCGCCCCCAGGACGACCTGGAGCCCCTGGCCCTGGCCCCGGCCCCGACCCCAGCGCCAGCACCCCGACCCCCTCAGGACCTCATCGGCCTGCGGCTGGCCCAGGAGAAGGCCTTAAAACGGCAGCTGGAGGAGGAACAGAAGCTGAAGCCTGGAGGAGTGGGAGCCCCCTCCTCCTCCTCCTCGTCTCCCTCCTCTTCCTCGGCCCGGCAGGGCCCTCTCGCGTCCGAGGAAGTCATGGAGTTCCGGGAGGAGGGGCCTGAGTGCGAGACCCCGGCCATCTTCATCAGCATGGATGAGGACTCCGGGCTGACGGAGGCCGCGCTGCTGGACGCGAGTCTCGAGGGGCCCCTGCCTAAGGTAGGGACGACCGCCTCAGAGCCGCAGGGCGAGGAAAGCGTCCGCGCCAGGGCGGGCGGAGTGCCTGCAGAGCTGGGGCGGGCGGGGCGCGCCCTGGGCCGAGCCTGAGGGAAGCGTGGCGGTGGGGCCGCGCTCTCTGACCCGCGCCCCCTTTCCTCCTCCCGTTGCCAGGAGGCAGCAGCGGGGGGGTTGGCCTCAAAGGAGGAGCGGAGCCCCCAGACCCTCGCCCCTGCCGGCGAAGACGCCGTGAAGACCCCCAGCCCGGCCGCGGAGGAGGCCGGGGATCCCGAGACCAAGGGGAACAGCTGACCGGGCTTAAGCGGTGGGAAGGGAGCGGGATGGGACCTGGGGTTGGGCGACGGGCGGGGCTGGACCGCGGGTGCTTTGCCTTAAAAGATTAAAAGAGATGGCGTGTCAGGGGCGTGGGTGCGGTCTCGTGCCTGCCGCGGCGTCCGCTCGCGGTCTGCGCGGGTCTCGGCGCGCCGGGGCCTGCTGGGAGCCTCCGGGCGCGGAGCTGCGCCTGCGCGGAAACCAGCTCCGCGGCCC